GATTATATAAGCATTGTATGTCAAGAACAGGAAGTGTGTAAGGACTACAGAACACCAATTTCTCTCCTCATCTCAGTAACATAAGGGAAGGTGTTCTGTAGTTCAGAGGTAAACTAGGAACGGCTGATAACACTTACATTAGCAAGTTAGAAGCTCATGTGGTTTTTGGCAGGATCAACAAGTATTGTTCTATACTTGCTGAATTTTTAAACAGACAGAACATGGACAATGTGCATGTATTGTGCTAAATTTAATCCAACGCTTATGAATGACTGCTAACAGGAGCTCAATCACTAAATTACATTGCACACTGAGAACAGTCTGTCAGAGTTCAGTCATTTAAAGTATGCGTGTCATAATGTAACTTATGATGAACAAGCAATAGGGTGTTAAGGGGCTTTCTCCATATACAGCTGAAAAGAGCAAATCCCGTTCAGTTGCTCACATTGCCCCACAGCAGTAATCCTCACCTTGGATCAATTTCAGTCAGCTGTTCTCAGGCATTCAGTTATAAGTGCGGTTACTAGACTGGTGACTATTGTAGCAACTAGTATAATTGCAGCCACTGTATGTGTATTTCAGTGGATACCCACATTTGCATATTACTTCATAAACCTGATTTGGAATGTTTGTAAAGCTTCGGCCGGAGCCTTCCCTGAGCAATAGGTAAAAAAACCGGCACTGGCAAGGGGATCCGTCTGTTCAATATTTTATTTGTAAAAAGGCATAACCGCAGCAAACAAACAAATGTCTACATGTTTCAGCCCAGTGTCTACGGCTAAGGCCCAGTTTGGGGGCTGAAACATGTAAGCATTTGTTTGTTTGCTGCTGTTATGCCTTCTTACAAATAAAGTACTGAATGGACGGATCGCCTTGCGAGTGCTGTTTTTTTACCTATTGCTCAGTATTTACTTGGGGTACTAGGACCTGTGTCAATTTGATGTGCATTTGATCTGCTTTAAGCAGGTTTTGCATTCAAATGGACTTGTCCGCAAAACACTCTTGGTGCGAGAAAAAGCCCATCAACACAGACCCTTAGGAAGTTACTGGTTATACATGAATCTGCCATAGATTTACAGGTCATATCCCTTGTGCCCTGACCAAAACTTGCCAGCTCTCCACTGCTTCATATGTGATAAATACCGCTGACACCTTCATCTCTATAACACCCCACATACTATTAAGGCTGGGAATGTGTAAAGGAAAAAAGTGTTCTAATTACTCTAACTTAGAGGCAATATATTGGAGAGTTTTTATGATCTTTCTTATTCCTTCAGAAAAGCATTCCCCCTATAAAAATGTCCGGTTCTCTATCTTTTGCAACAAATTATCTATTTTGTAAAGCAAATATGTTGCGCTCGGTCTATGTGAACCAACTGCACACTAAAGTGTTAATAAACAAATCTGTGTAAAAATTACAACAATCCGTGTGAAAAAATTGATTCAAGTGGATTATTTACATATGACTAGAAGGTTCAACACACAAACATAATAAGAATAATAAAAATCAACACTGGAACCTTCAGAATTAGTGCCAGTGATCAACCTCATTGGTTCGGCATGTATATTTTAAACACGTGAACCTCTGGCCAGCGGTGTAGTAAAACAACACAGAAAACTAAAATTTAAATCGTGATATTAATTCAAGCTGTGAACAAACTTTGTCTGTTATCAGGTCCAATCAGGTAGTTAGGCACGCATTCCCAGCGCAGTGATTTCTGTGATATAAATTATCTATTTTCACACAAGATGCTTTCATAATTCGCTATCATTTCTAAACAGTGTGGTCAGCCAATGGAGACCAGCCATTGTCTGGATTGCGGTGCCAATGTTGGAGGCCAACACCATAAAGCCCTTCAGGGATTCGAGAGGATTCAGTATGTTTTTCTTCACTGTTTCTGTATTATTGCTTTCTTGTGATTTTGTTGATATTTTTACAGGCTAGAAATGGCCAGTCTGGCATCTATGTGAACACTTCATGAAATTTGTCTTATCAGTAGCTAAATTACTACTCTTTAAAGTTAAACTCAAGGCAAGAAGCTACAGGAACTGCTTTATCTGAAAAAAAGATTTGTGATTATGTCCAGATAGTCAGTGATGCATGTACAGGTCTGCAACCTCACTTTTCTCCATTGTTCTTAATATAGCTTGGACAGCTTGAAGGAGAATCACCACATTGCTCCCTTTGTTAGAACGGCAATGCTATGCAGTGTAGTAAAGCCATATTTATGAAGCTATTATGAAGACAAATTCTGTTCCTTATACTTTCTGTATTTAAAAATGCATTAAAAGCTATTTTAATGATTACATTGCTGGATTAAATTGCATTTTTAGAGCTCAGCTATAAAACAGGTATTGTCTTGGCCTCTTACAGTACCAGGCTCTGAAATATGACTTTTTAATAGCTTCAGCTTGGGACACCAAGCTCTTGCAGGCCTAGAGCCATTGCTCTTTTCTTTTTTAGTTTAGTAAAATGTTCCTGACTACATGATTTTTATTGCTTTGGAAATGTCTCTTCTTTTATAACAGGCAGGATGTAGACCGAACACAGACTGGACATGTGTTGGGAGACCCAGATCCCCAGGGCCCAGCTGTGGCTCCAGACCGAGATATAGCAGCCCCTGCCTTTATTTTACTAAGGATGATAACACATCTGGCAATGCTTCTGGGATCAGAAGAGGATACGCAGGTATCACGCTGAAACATTTGCTTAAATGCGGCCACAATTAAATTTTCTTTCTCATCCATTGAGGGACACAGGAAGTCATATACTGTTGGGTTATACTGGTGCTTACAGGAGGATTAGACACTGGCAAACAAAAAACAAACTATAGGCCAGCTCAGGATAACCTATCCTACTCACATCATGCCTCAGTTTTTGTTCCTAGGAGAATGGACATCTTTTCTTTAGCTCTGTTGAGAAACATCTAGCCTTTTTTGCTAGATGTTTTCCTTTTTTATTTTTCTTCAAGCGAGTTTCCTTACTACATTTCTGCTTGAGGTGATCTCTACATGGCAGCTTTCTAGATCGGGCTATTTACAGCCTGACTTTGGAGTGCTGCACCCAAACCCTGCTGGACATTGTTGGGCTAGCATGGAAGTGATCTCAAAGCACTGGGTTCCACCCGTGGCGCTTTTCCAGACATCAGGTAATGATAACAATTAGTTGCTGAGCCATTGCATTGCCTCAGCACTCTGAAGACTCACTTTGTAAGTAGACTGTTCAGGTTAAGCACCATCTCATTATCTGGACTGCTGACCGCCTTCAAATTTCCTGCTTTTACACTGAAAAATTGAGTGCTGATGTTTTCCACTGGATGGAGCGTTGTGTGCACGTTCAGTGTTCTCTTTCCCATTGTTCAGCACTGAGTAAGCACCTTTATGCTGCTGCTCTGGCTTATGTGGTCCTCTTATGCTGTTCCTACTGTCCACCTACAGGGACTTGTTCTTCCCCAGCCATCTGATCTTACACTGGCTGGTTGGGTTTATGAGTAGCCAAGGCCTTGCCTCGAACCTTGAGCTATGTTGCTCCTAAGCACCTAACAGTCCTGTACCTATTTGAGGAGGTCTTAAAAAGTGTTTTGCCACATCCTTGGATCTGGCATTATCTCATCTTATCAATGCTTCTACCATCGTAGTGGAGGATGCATATGCCTCAAGGACTGGATTCCCTCTCTAGCCCTGTTCTTTCTGGCAGGTCCTGTTCTGCAACCTGGTTTAGCTGTGACCTTGATCTGTCAAACCCTAACTCTCTGGTCAAAGGCTATCAGAAGGAATCTGATCACTATGTCAGTTTATACCTTGATCATAGAGTATTTAGAGCTCATGCCTTTTAGCTTTTAGCTACAGCGTGCATGGGTTGTTGGAGGTCTGCTGTCTCATTTCCCATATGACTCTCCATCAGTAAACATGACAGGCACTCTATGGTTAAAGTGTTGAACTGTGAAAGCCTTTGTCCAAAAAGCACCTAATCCGCATGAACTTCAAGGGACAATGCTTCCTTGGAGCTGCCCTGGATGCCCTCTTAAAGGATGCTATAGATGGCAAGAGTACTCATCTTCCTCAGTCAAAGAAGCTTAAGGCTCAGTCCAGAGAAGCTAAGACCTCACTGGACGCTGGAAAAGAAAAGCCCTTTTCTTTACTCTACAGCCTTAGACTCCAAGTGCAGACCCAAGTCTGGCCCCCAGTCTGCCTACAAACCTAGGAATTCCAAGTCTTTCTCAGCATGAGGGTGCGCCTCCACTTCTCAAAGAGGGGGATGTCTGTTAGTCTTTGTGGACACCTACACAGCCAATATCTCAGATGCTTGGGTGCAAAACATAGTTTCCAGGTGCTACAAGCTAGAGTTTCACTAGAACCTCCTCCCAGGTTCATCACTTCCAACCTGCCTGTGTCACCACACAGATTAGCATATCTCCATGCAGCCCTAGCGGATCTTTTTGGAACAGGGTGTCATTGACCCAGTCCCCTGTGGCAGAACAGTTTCAGGGGTTGTACCTTAACCTTATTAACAATTCCCAAGCAAAAATGTGCATCTTCTCCATTTTGGATCTCAAGGCCCTAAATGTCTTCATTTGGGCCCAGAAACTCCCTCGGGTAGATTTTCTGGCCTCTGTGGACATCAAGGATGTATACCTGCATGTCTCCATTTAAGTCAGTGCAGACCATGGATAGAGCGATTTTTCTGGCACCGCAGACCAGGTTGTCCCTGGCTTCGTGGCTCAGGAATGTGGCTCTGGAGTTAGGGATGTTCTTTCTTGTCTACTGGGAGATCCTTATGACGGTTGCCAACCGTCATGGCTGGGGAGGAGTCCTGGGCAACCTGTCGGTGCAATGGACTTAGACATCAGGGGAATCTCGTCTCTCAGTTAACATTCTGGAACTTCAGACAATTGATTATCCCGGCAATGCCGGATCTCCAGGCTCATCCCATCTAGATTCAATCAAACAATGCCACTGGAGTGGCATACATCAACCATCAGGGAGGAACTAGCAGTCTCACCGTGTCCCAGCCTTGTCCACTGTTTGCATCCCCGGTGTGGACAATTGGCAGGCAGACTTCCTCAACCTGCAGTGTCTGGACCAAGGGGAGTGATCCTTACCCCCAAAGGTATTCCAGGACGTGTGTCACTGCCAGGAAAGGCTGGATGTGGACCTCCTGGCCTCCAGGTTCGACAGCAAACTGCACAGGCTTGACTCCAGTTACAGGAATCCTATAGCAAAAGCAGCATACACTGAGCTACTTTTTTGTTTGTTGTTGCCCACCCTTCAGTTGGACTGCTTTTGGACATCCTGCCAGTATATCATTTTCTTTGTCCTTCAATGTAAGAATGAGAAAATAGAATTTTTGTACTGACAGTAAAATAATTTGCTTAGAGTCTATTGAAGGACAAAGGTTCCCCTCTGTGGTTATGATGGTGCTCTTGGTACTGTTACTAAAAAACGGAAGCATGCTGGGAGAAGGAGGGGTTAACCTGGACTGGCATACATTTTTTTTCTGTATGCCATTGTTCAGTCCTACAGGCAGCACAATGTATGACTTCCTGTGTCCCTCAAGGGACTCCAAGAAAAAGATTGTATGATGAATATAAGAATTAGTGGAATTAGTGACTGCTGAAGTTAGAAAATCTAGCTGTTCTCCTTGAGATAAGTCCCACCAACCTCAATGTCATGCTTGCCCCTCCTTCCTGCTCCACAATATCAATCTAAAGGCGTAGGCCACTCCAATATTTATGTCTCAAGCTTGACTAAAAGACATTCATCCTTCAGCTTTCATTCATGCATGCCTGTCTGCCTGAACATATTATTATACATGTGGGAAGATTTAAAGCTGCCCATAGATGATGATCAAATGAGCAATGTACAAGTATCTGAAAGAACAACCCTCTCTGTTGCCCAAAGTATGCCTTTTTGATGGTTGGCAATGTTGGTTTGAATATTAAATGGGAAATCTTGGTTGTTATGAGCAAAATAGGCAGTGCCTTTCAGATGCCCAAACTCATCTGACAGAATTTATTTCTACTACTAGGTATGGGTAGGATCAAATCTAGGTGAAAAAATCAAGCGTGGAAGCCTCTGTATAAGATGATCAAATCACCTTAACTGTCTTAAGTCAATGGTAAACTAATCTTCTAATTGAAAAAATGGAACACAAGTTCCCTGCAATAGAAGTCTTTGAATTCTCACCTCGCCAGTTGGCACCAAGTCCGAACTCCTCTGTCTTTAAGCGTTACCGCCTCTGACATAGTCTTCAGCATTTCACACTTTTGGGATTGCTGGATGCCTGCATCCCCTGCCACATCCTGCAGTTCCATCTGCCAGCCCTATGTCACTAAAATACACAATCATGTGAAGATACTGCCAGTTGCTGTAGTCCTTGAAGAAAGTAGATTTTGGACTTACTGAGGTGAGTGTTTAAGGCTTTTATCTATTGCAGGAAGGTTTTACTTTATGTAAATATATATATATATATTAAATTGGGGTTTTTTTCTTTAAAAAAATGTGTCTCTGCTCTGAAGATCTGCTTGCCTTATTATGAAAAATAAGTCTGGTCATTCATGTTAAATATTTCCATTGTTTTTACTGGACTTCTTATTCTTTTAAAGCATTTCCTAACAAAATGTGAAACAAAATAATTCACTAGAGAACCTAAAGTGGGCCTTTACCCCCTTTTACTGATAATCACAGTAGCATGCAGCTCTGCATGCTGACTTAAAGTCATCTTACATTTATTAGTTAAACAAACTTGTTTTTCATTTACTTACAAATAGAGTTCACCTACTTCCTGGTCCAGTTCTGGCACAAATGATGTATGTGCCAAAGCCTTGCATCTTGGGAAGGTTACATAAGCAGAGTATTGCTGGGAAATCGCATCTGTAATCTCATGAGATCTCAGGGAAAGGCATTTTCCTCCCCTGAGATGATGTGCATGGCCACATGCCCTAGTCACATGTGCCAGAGTTCCAGGAAGTAAATGGAGAGCTAGTAATCTGCCCTTAGTTAACATAGCCACTGTCAGAAGACTGGGAAAGCAAAGAGAAATAAGGTACGCAAAGAATACAAAGGCTGCAATTATCTATGTATGTGTTTGTAGATTGTCATTACCAAACATTTCTAAAGGTGTGTTTGTTGTTATTTTAAAGATATGGGGAAAGGTCTGCTTTAACTGGAGAAGATGTAGTAAAAAATGCTGACTATAGTTTTTGTATGCACTGTGCTTTTTTACAGAGCCTGATGCGCATTGTGAAGCCACCAATTCAAAATGTTACAAATTTCATTTTTTGTCACATTGAAAGAGATCTGGAATATCTGAGGAACAGCCTTGGGAAAAGCACAGATGACACCACAACCATTGTACATCTTATACTTGACAAAATGCTGAGTCCACAACACTCTGGGCAGTGTAAGTATATTTCAGTGATCATTTTACAATAAGTGTCCAACTGATAACAGTGCAACCAATTTAAGCATCATTGGTGGTAATTAGACATTAAAAGTAGGGTTGCACAGATACCAATTACAGTACGCGGTACAAAAATTAAAAAATTGGGAGGCAGCTGTCATTTGTAAGGAGCACACGGAGCTCCCGGGATTTGTACATCTCTGTTTTAATGTACGACTTTGTTTTTATAGATATAAATAAAGGGATGCACAGATACCAGTTTTGCGAGTACGAGTACTGGTACTTGCCGAGTACTTACAAGTACGACTACTGATACATTTTTGTTTATTGTCATGTGACAGTTTTTCTAAAACAATACAGACTAATGATTTCAGGACAATGGTGGAGTGCCAGAGCCAGGTCCCAGCTGCAATCGCTGCAACCCTGGTAGTTCTCATGAAAATGCCAAGTATCTGCACTGGTACTCGGAAAGTATCTGTACATCCCTAATTAAAAGTAAACTCTTCTTTTTTTCTTCATTTTTTAATAGAATAGGGGAGAGTTAGTGCTTTTGTTGGTATTTATTGCTGTCTGGGTTTCAGTTATGCAGGTTTACCATCACTTCATCTCGTGGTATTCTCTGTACCCTGGTACAGGAAGTAAATGAACTCTCCCAAAACACAGACAGGAAACTTAAACAAAAGTTGAGAGAAGTTTTGGTTATTACTTGAAGTACAGATAAGGGGGTAGAGGGTTATAAACTTGAACAAAATGTATGGTTTGACATACATGAAGCAAGCATCTAAATTAGTTATCACTTAAAACATCACAGATAAGCAGACTTTAAAAACAACATTGAGAATGCATAGAAAAAGTACAATGACATTACAGATAGTTGGGTTACAGAAGTAGAGATTTTAAGTATTCCGGAAGATGAACTAGATGAGCATTTGAAAATATTCCAATCACCTTGGTTGTAAGTTGCAGTAGTGTGTTATTAAGCTGGCTTCCGATAGGTTGATGGGAGGAAGCAATGCTCTGCAGTGAGCTGTAGATGGGATTTTGGTTGCTTAAATACTCTATCTGTTAGCCAAGGTGCAAAACTTGGTTGTAAGTTGCAGTAGTGTGTTATTAAGCTGGCTTCAGATAGGATGATGGGAGGAAGCAAAGCTCTGCAGTGAGCTGTAGATGGGATTTTGGTTGCTTAAATACTCTATCTGTTAGCCAAGGTGCAAAACTTGTTTGTAAGTTGCAGTAGTGTGTTATTGAGCTGGCTTCAGATAGGATGATGGGAGGAAGCAATGCTCTGCATTGGGGAAATCTTCGTTAAACCTTTACTCGTGTGATTGTATCCTGCAGGGCCTGTCAACTTTGATGAAACTTGGTCAACCAAAGAAATGAGGAACAACTGGGAGAAGCATTTTGTATCAATGGTCATTACCCCTGTGCTCGGGGTAAGAAATGTATTTTAACTCATGTGTTGAGTGCAGTAACTTTTTTGCCTTACCCCAAAAAAATCCAGATTAGATGTTTACATTTGCACATTGTGTTTTTAACAGCCCTTTAAATCTAATTCCTGCTTTATATTTAACCAGAGTTAATAAATGAGCGTTATCTGTTTTGCCTTATAATTACAAGGTCATCAACCCTCACTCAGTGTGACAGCAACCATGCAAGAGCTGTGGGTGTGGTCGGGCAGCTGCCAATGACATTCACCACAATGTGAGAGAACAGGGGCATGCTCAGCTCTCCTGAAGCTGGAACCGCTTCTCCAGGGTGAACTGAAAAACCCCCAGTCTCCCTCTTCGAAGCATAGAAGGGTTGTCATAGATCTGTTCAGACCCCTTATGGTTGATTTACTTGCAATGGGAAATTAAAATAAAATGTGATAAAAAGAAACATAATCATAAATACCTATATAGCACACTCTTACATGTATAACATGCACATACATACACTTCGGATCCATAGAGACACACAGAACTCCTAACAATATATACACATTTGGTATTTCTGTACCAAGACCTCTACAGATGTTTTAAAATAACTTTATGGAACTATGTTATATGCATGTTAAATAGTTCAAGGAGTTAAATATGTGGGCTTATATATTTTTTTTATTGATTGATCAAGGATAAAAAAAAGTTTTGTTTTTTTTGTAGTCAGGGAATTATGACATTTTGCATACTAATATTATCTAGTCTTCTATCCAGGCAAAAGGTGGGTCTTTCATCTCCCCTTTTACAAGTCCTGACATATCTTCTTTATTATAAAAAAGCCTATTGTTTTCAGAATTCAGTAGCTGAAGCTGTGAATTAGAATTGTGTCTTATGAAATGGTTCCATCTGAGGTTTCAGTTACACACAGCTGGATAACTAAATAAATAGTGCTCTGGGAATTCTTTGTCGTGTATTAAATGTTTCTTTGGAAAACAAAGATTGTATACATGTATAAACAAATATATAATATCAGTTTAAAAACCTATAAACTAGGAAAAAAAATTAAATAAATAGACCCAGTACCATTATAGTTTTCCTTTTTAAGCAAGTATAAAATCATGTTTTAGTGGTGCATAAAACTAATTGATTATATTTAAAAAAAATCTCTTAGCATACATGATTTAAGTCTAGATGTATGTAATACTTTCTGCCTTTAAATAGTTTCATATCCTACATTGTATAGGAGTGTGCACAATTTTAAGTCTAGATGTATTTATTATTTACTGCCTCTGCAGAGTTTGTTATTTTACATTTAACAGAAATACTGTTGATATTTGTTTGTGTGTGATAATAGCAGGTTTTATGTAATATTTTATTTAAAAAGTACGTGTTTGATGAGCACTTGTGGGAATACTGTGGGATTTAGAAAACCATTTGGGTGATCTTTTAATACAACAGATGTCTAACTTCAGAAATTATATGTTGGGGGAAGCCTTGTGAACGTTGGAGTCTGTACAGAGTGTTTTAATGGTACATGTGAAAAACCTAAAAACGGGAAGCACAAGGGTGGAAAACATTAGGGAGTTGGGTATGTGGTGAACTCAGCATGTTTGTCATTCACTCAAACAGTGAACTTATGACAAAGTTTGCCCAGCCGCCCATAATGCTTTGCTGACCTGTGAACTGTGGTTAGGTGAACATTATGACCAGTAATGGGGCTTTGAAAATGTGCCAGCCCCCGCCCTATTAAAGTAATCTCTCCCAGCTTTCTTTTATCAGTTGATCAGTGTTAGAGTTGATGAGAAAAAGCTGACGGTGCTGTGAAGGAGAGACAGTTTGTGCTATTTGTACAGTGGTAGTAGTGTGCTAGCACAGGGTTATACCGTGTCATTTGCAGTGCTGCATATTGCCACTGCTACTTTAGAGTAAATTGCAATGTGTTGGGCTACAGGGAGTACAATGTATCCCTCCTGTTAACTTTTGGGATCTGTTGTTTAGGGTTGGTGTCTAGGGTTTAGGGTTTTAGTTTATTTTTTTGGTGGGGTAGTTATGTTTTATTTTTATATAATTTTGATAGGGTTTAACAGCCCATTTTCAAATACCCTATGTCAGGGTTTCTTACCCTTCCTTGTCCTGTTGAGCTGCAGCCTGTCTTCTGTTGCAGTGTGTGTGTGTGTGTGACACTGTTTGTTCTTCTTTGGCGCCATCTTATGACCAAAACCATAAACATCATCATTCTGCAACTACTAGCAAACTCCTGACAACTTCCTGTCCCAGAATGATGATGCAAATATTTTACCATCAGCTTGTCCATATAGTCTCTGCCCTTGCGTGTGTCCAGATCTACCAAGTGCTCTGCTGTTGTTCCTGTTCTCCGTGTATGACCCTGACTCTGACTGACTGATCTCCAGGTTTCTTGACTCTGGTTATTGTTTTCGTTCATCCTGCTCTGTGTTGCCTGACCTTACTCCCTGCTTTGGCTTCTGACCTCTGGCTTGGCACCAACAACATCCTAGACTTTCGCCATTGTTTTTTGCCATTTTGTTTATTGTTATTTTCAATAAACTCCCTTTATGTTTAACCTGCACTTTAAATTTCTGTCTTGTTTCTTGGTTTCCTGACATGAATCTTGACAGTGCAGGTATCCCTACGCTGCCCATGATGGTCTCTAGACTGGATCAACAAGATCACCATATGGATCAGTTTATCCTGGCACTGTAGACCCTCCTAGCATGCACAGCCTATCTTGAGCCAAGTGTTTCTCAACTGGTGGCTTCCCGTGTTGCTGCCTCTGCGGGCACAGGTAAAACAACAGTCGCAAGAGTATGACTGATTCAGCCACGCTCCCTCATGGTTATGGGGGTGACCCGAATCAATGTTGTGGCTTCCTTAACCAAGTGGTTATTTATTTTGAAATTATTCCCCAGGCATTTTCATCCGAAAAGGTGAAAGGTGGGCTTCCTGATATTGTTGGTCTTGGATAAAGTCTTGGTCTGGGCAAATCCCCTATGGGTGAACAATAAATGTCTCATGCTTGATTACCTGGAATTTGTCACCTACTTTCATAGTGCATTCAATTTACCGGCTCTTCCACCTCTGCTGCCAAGCAGCTCATGTTTATCCCACAGGCTACAGGAATCGTTGCAGAGTAGGTGCCCTCCTGTCTTAACGCCATATGCCAGATGATCCCTTCCACCTTTGTGGGTTCTATTTCAAAAAGTTATCTCCAACAGAGTGTAATTGCCAGATCAGAGACGGAGAACTGTTGGCCATAATGCTAGCACTTAGAGACATCTGCTTGAGGATACTACGGTTCCAGTTCTTATTCTAACATATCATAAGAACTTAACCTATCCAAAATGCGCAATTGCATACCATTTAAGAAGTTGCCCACGGCTCAGGAGCTTTCTTTGCCAGGGAGGTCTTCTGTTTATGTGGTATAGCTAAGGAGATCTATGTCTCGGACCAGGGTAATCAGTTTGTCTCTAGGTTCTGGTGAGTCTTTTGCACTCAGTTGAGAATTTGACTCTCCATCTCTATGGCCTATCATCCGCAGTCCAGTGGCACCGCTGAGAGATCCAACCCAGCCCTGGAGAAGTTCCTCGCTGATATGTCTCAGACCACCATGTCAATTGAGCTGATCTGCAACCCTGGGCAGAGTTTGCTAGGAACAGTATTATCAACTCGTCCTCCTAAATGTCCCCGTTCATAGCTAACTACGGGTTTCAGCCATCTGTTTTACTTGAATCTTTTACGCATCAAAACATTCCGTATTTGTAGGATCATCTTCAGGCGTTCCGTTCCTCTTGGGTGCAGATTCAGAATTCCTTTAATGCCTCTACGTAGCGCCAGAATCTCCAGGCAGATTGTAGTCGTCTACCAGCTCCCTCCTACCAGGTTAGGGAGAGTGTGTACTTGTTGCCCGTAACCTCGATCTCAAAGTGCCTACTCCAAAATTGGCACCCCATTTTATTGTGCCTTTCCGTATTCCCCGAAAGGTTAGCCTGCTTGTCTACATCCTTGACCTCCCTTCTAGCATGTGTATCTTCAATATTATCCATGTATTGCTCCTGAAGCTGCTGGTGTGTAATCGTTACACTACCACCCATCCTTGTCTTATTCCTGTTGGCAACCACGAGGAGTATGAAATATGTAGCATCCTTGACTCTAGTCAGTTGAGGGGACAAGTCTAGTACCTGGAAAGGCTATGGTCTGGAGGAGCATTCTTGCGTTCCTTCCTCCTGATGTTCACACCCCCACCCTCCCCTGGGCCTTCCATGATGCTTTCCCCATAATCCTTTTGTCCTCTGACTTCGGGGTGGGGGGGACATTGAGGGAAGGGGACTGTCAGGGTTTCTTACCCTTCCTTGTCCTGTTGAGCTGCAGTCTGTCTTCTGTTGTAGTTTGTCTGACACTGTTTGTTCTTCTTTGTCGCCCTCTTCTGACCAAACTCATAAAACATCAGCATTCTGCAACTAACAGCAAACTCATGACAACTTCCTGTCTCAGAGTGATGATGCAACTTCAGTTCAATATTTTACCATCAGCTTGTTCATTTAGCCTCCGCCGTTGCGTGTGCCAGATCTACCAAGTGCTCTGCTGTCGTTCCTGTTCTCCATGTATGACCCCAGCTCTGGCTGACTGATCTCTTGATTCATGACTCCAGCTTTTGTTTCTGTTCTTCCTGCTTTGGCTTCTGACCTCTGACTTGGCACCGACAATGTCCTGGACTTTCTCCAGCGTTTTTTGCCATTTTTGTTTATTGTTATTTTCATTAAACTTCTTTTATTTTTAACCTGCATTTTGCGTTTTTGTCTGGTTTCTTGGTTTCCTTACACCTTATTGCTATAGCTGCTAATAAAATTAGGCAATCCCATATTGTTATAATGCCTGGGAAGCTTAAAGGGAAAGGCAACAGTTTTTTACATGCAGCTAGTAGGTCAAAGCAGTGGTAGGCGAAACACAAAAGACGAGGCACTTCCTTTGCTTTCTAGCAGTGGGCGTGCTATACAACCAGAACATTTGGTGGAGTGGATGACCAAGGCTTCACCATCCTTCTCCCAGGTGCAATGTCTTCAGCAGCTTGAAATGCAGCCTCTTCTGGCTCCTCTTCAACATCTAATCCCGCCGTAGCCCCACAAACTGGCATGGAGGAGACGGCACAAGCTTCAATCACTTTCTGTAGGAGGATGCATACTAATTAATTTTATCAGATGCTGAGGAAGAGAGTGTATGTAGGATAAAGAGAGACAAAAGGCAGGAAGAATCCATTGTCAGTGATTCTCCTGCAGCCGCAGCTTACTGCCAAGTGGGCTTCAATAATGACTAGGGTAGAGATGATGAGATGGCAGATAGTAATTGGGTGCCTGAGAATGTACAGGCGGAGAATGAAGAAGAGGCACAGTATCAGCAAAGCAGGATGTCATTCAGGGGCAGCTCTACAGGTGCAGGTCACTGAAATCCTTATGTCCTCTACACCGTGAAGTCTCTTGTACATTTATTTATGGACTGAATGTCCCATTTCCATACTTATAACAGGATGTTTTTCTTTTACCTGTTATTTTCCACGAAGTGATTAGTTGGTACTAACCGGTTTTCCATCCATGTGTAGTGTCCACCGTCCGCAGAGTTAGCAGTCCATGATTTTTCGGATTAAGGAGTCATTATAACATCATAGCGGTGTGTTCCCCGGTGATTCAGGATGACCCAAACAGGCCCATATCCGTCTACGCGTTTTGCCCCTCCCCTTGGGGATTCGTCAGGACGTAGTCTTGGGGTAGACGTGTAGCCTTTTTAAAGGTGATTGAGCTACTTTCGTCTATTAACCCCCTCCGGTCTTACTGAGGCTTCTTATACTTGGTGAATGAATTGCATATATCTCCCTACTTACTATGTATAAAAATAAACTTTGATGCCTATAACAAAGAAAGTTCCAATCGTGAATATATTTCACCATTATGAACATTTTATCTTCGTGTATGTGTAAATGTTTTTTAAAGGAATTGAATGCTGTGGGAATAATTTTCAAAAACCTCACAGAAAAACTTGTAGATTGAATTCCACATTTAAACCATTCGGGGGTTAAGGTGTCCAGTTTGTACATCCACATTTTTTCTTTCTGTTTTAGGATTTTATCAAAATCCCCTCTCCTTGCTGGTAAATGTAGTTCATAGATCCCCTTTATTTTCAGGCCTTACGGGTTTCCTTTATGGTATTCACTGAAATGTTGGGCAATAGGGCTATCAACTTGTTTCATGTTTTTATTATGATAGTTTTTTATATCCCTTAGGTGTTCACCCATTCGTACTCGCAGTTGGTGTTTTGTTTTGCCAATATAATGTTTTCCACAAGGGCAAGTTAGCTGATAGATCACTCAGCTCGTAGTACAATTAACTAATTGTTTTATATTGTAGTATTTGTTTCCATCACTAGAACAGAAGGTTTTACTTTTTTCTACAAATGGGCAAATCTGGCATCTCCCACATGGGTACATGCCTACTGTTTTAGTCCTTTCCTCACCCAGCCATGTCTCCCTTGTAGTTGATATATATTCTGAGGAGACCAAATGGTCCCATAGGTTACGGGCTCTCCGGGCTACCAGTTGGGGATATAAGCCCACTATTTCCCCCAATTTCGGATTTAGATGTAATATGTGCCAGTGTGTTTTTAGGGTTTTCCTTAATACCTCCCATCGTGACCCGTAATGGGTTATCATACGGGTAGGACCTTCAAAATTCTTCCTTTCTTTGGTTTTCCCCTCCATATTTAGGATCTGCATTCTTGACCTTTCGTTTGCCTTAGTTTTACTTTTCCTCAATGTTCTGTGGGGATATCCCCTGGCCCTGAATATATTGTACATTTCACTAGATTCTTTTGTGAAATCTGATGCTAGGGAGCAATTACGTTTGACCCGTAGGAATTGGCCAGTGGGTATGCCCTGAATCAAAGATCTTGGGTGGTGGCTGGTGGCATGCAAGATGGTGTTTGCTGCCGTTTCCTTTCTGAAGGTACTAGTTATTAGTTCCTCGTTCTCCACTCGAATGAATAAATCCAAAAAGGGGATTTCGAACTGGCTCATCGTGTATGTCAGATGGTTGTTTTTGTTATTATTATTATTCAGCTCCCGCATGAAGCCTTCTAGGTCCTCCTGTGAGCCCTCCCAGATCATGATGACATCATCAATGTACCTGAGCCAGAGCTTCCTATGTCTCAGGTACAGATGATTGATAAATACTTCCTCGGTTTCCCAAAGGCCGAGATGAAGGCAGGCATAGGCTGGTTCCCATGGGGCTCCCATAGAGGTTCCCTTTATTTGTCTGTAATACTGGCCATTGAACTGAAAGAAGTTATTGTTGAGTGCGAATTCTAGGAGTTCTTCTAGAAATTCGTTCTGGGAAGCTGCTAGAGGGAAATGTTGCAGAAGGTAATAGCATACTGCCTAAAATCCACAGCGGTGGGGGATGGAGGTATATAGGGATTCTACGTCTATCCCAACCAACAAACATCCTGTTTTAATCTTAATTGTATCTAATTTCCGAAGTATATCCCCTGTATCTTTTATGTAGGATGGGAGTTTAGAGACCAAGTCTTTTAGGAGGGTGTCCAGATATTTTCCCAGGTTTTCTAATGGACCACCTACAGCCGACACTATGGGTCTGCCTGGGGGATTGGATTTATTTTTATGCACCTTTGGTATGATATAGAAGGTGGGGATATTATACTCCTTTACTTTTAGAAATTTATATTCCTTGGTTGATAGAAGACCCGCCTCCTTGGCTAGGTCTAACCTAAAATTAAATTCAGAAATCAAGTCTTGGAAGGGTGAGCTATCTAATTTCTCATATGTCTGTCCATCAGAGAGTAAACTTTTAACCTCTTGAACATGCATATCTTCTGATAGTAAAACTACATTGCCGCCCTTATCACTCATCTTAATGATTATACCCAGGGCTTCCTGTAGATCCCCTAATGCCCTTCTTTCTGATTTTGAGAGGTTGTCTTCCCCCTTCACAGACCAATTGGTCTGTTTGAGGTCCCTGTGTACCAGGTCCCTGAATTAGGAAGCCCCGGCTATAATAATTAAGATGAGTGATACAGGGTATATTTAATAATGTTTATCAGGTCTGTAACTAAACAAAGCATAAGAACAAAAAGAGAAAAGATTAGGTCGCATACACTCTCCTTTGTGCCAACCAAAAGAGTTATTCCAGACCAAGTATTGAAAAATTATATAAATTCATTTATTGAGACAAAAAAGTTTATGCACAGGTAATATTGCACCATAGACATGTGGTCCAGCAAGCATGGGCAGGGACATTACACCTCATTCACGGTCCACTATGTCTTTGATGGATGTCAGGAAGGATGCAGGATGGGGTATACCCCTGGAACTCGTAGTGCCGCCCATGTTGTGCTACTTGAAAAAAAAAAATATGTGTCACAGCAAAACCTACCTAAGAAACACTTTTTTTCAAGTTTAAATTAATCAGATAGAGGTCCTGCTGCTTTATTTGTAATAAACAAATTATTTGATGCCAGGACAATGTTCTATTAATATTATTATTATTATTGCACAAGATTTATATCAACAACAGCTTACACAGTACTTTACAAAATGGAGGGAGACAATGCAGTTACAATACAAATTCAATAGAGGAGGGTTAGGATGGCCCTGCTCATAAGAGCTTACAATCTATTAGGTGGAGCAAGTGATACAACAGGTAATAATTGTGTGGGGTGACAATTATAACTTGAATGCCATGACAATATAGCTTAAAGCCATCTCTGTAGCATGTAATTAAAAAAAATTGGTATTTTTGCCATGCTACCCTCATAGTCTCATAAAATGGCGGGCCATTTCCCCACTGAACGATATTTCATTACATTTTACATTGGTACATGTAGTCTGGGACAGTACCCAGCTCGCCATGCCCTTTGTATGACATGTGTATGTATCCCTATTAGCATTGTAAATGAAAATAATTTGTTTTCAGGATCACACCCTTATGATCCATGGCAGATAAATGGTTAAATGTTTCGCACTTGTTATGTAAAGTATCAAGTAGAAAACTTTATATGTTCCTGGATAACTAAATATTTTTTTCTGGTTTCAGAGCTTAGACAGGGACCTCATGACTGTGAACAATTACATCCGTCAGGATGAGAGAATTAGTTCCAATCCTGTAGTAAAGGTGGTGTATGGTGATCCTCTGATAAGTGGAGAGAAGATGGACTTGCCAAAGGACAGTAATGTGTATTGCTCAAAGATATGGAGCTGCAGAGAACGGATCACCATTGAATATATACTACATACTGTCCAGCAGCAGGATGGAAAAGACACCCTTCCTCTACTCTGGAAATTCCTGGAGAAAGTAAGTTCTTGGTTATTGTTTTGGTATGATGTCCTTGTAAGGATATACTTCCCTATTTACTATGGACTACAACATCTAGCATGCCATGTCTGTTCTTATTATTAACTGCTCACAAGTATTAGCGCCCCAATTTTTGGCAAACATATTTGCTCATAAGATATCATCAGACCTGATATCGTATAACAAGGTTCTATTGGCCAGTTCATTTTTATACAGGATTTATATAGCGCCAACAGTTTGCACAGCGCTTTACAATATAAGGAAGACATTACAATCACAATACAATTCAAGACAAGATGGTAAGGAGGCCCCTGTCTGTGAGAGTTCATCGGGTTTATCTCTTGTGGTTTTACTGAAGAGCTTACAGTGAACTGAGCAAGGTTTAGGCCTTTGATGAGGCAGAGCGATGGCTCTTTCTGCAGCATTACAACATGCCATTCTCTCCCTGAGTCAGTGCTAGAGCCCTCCACTCACCAAGGAGCTTGGGCATGGAGGGCTCTAACTCTGACTTAAAGGCAGAGTGTCAGACTGCAACAGAAAGGGCCATTGCTTACACACCAAGCAAAGTGGTCCAGCTCTGCTGCAAGATAGTGGAGGACATAATTTTAGCTATGGCTATGGGATGCTTTATAACCTAAATGAAAGGCAATATTCTGCTCTGTTAACATCATAATGCACCAGGAAGATTGGTATAGTTATTCTCTGGGGTTCATTTACACTTTAAGCATTGATATCTGTGTATACTGTGTTCGTGCTTGTTCACACCATGTACAGAACACCAGAACAGCTTTTTACGCACCTGAAATGTATCACAATGTATTCTTATGGTATTTTACCATTCCGGTGCAGGGAAAAAATTGCTGTTGTTCTGGTCTGGAACGCACCAAAATGCATGTAAAACACATAAAAACGGATGCAACCACACTGGACTTCACCTAAAAGTCAATTTTCAGCAAAAAAAACGCACTTGAACACGTACAAAATGCATCAAAACTGCACTGCGTTTGCAGGGCTGATCCAGAGCTGGTCCAGACATGGTGTGAACAAGCCCTTACCACCAATATTGCCAATAACCCCGTGGAATATTTTTGCTATTTAGAAATATTTCCACGTAACGAAGACTACTATTACATTACTTTATTTTGTTTTACAGGAAACAGAACTACAGATGGTGAAATTTTTGCCAGATATGTTGAAACTTCAGAAGGATTTGGTGAAGAAATTCCAGAATTACAAAGATATCAACTTTAAAACTATTGGAGATTTCTTGCAAAGCATAAAGTCTGGTACCTATCAAACATTTATGACCACATTAGCTATTACATCATGAACTGGGATAAATCCAACCTAACCTAAACTCTTCGGAATGGACTATTTATAACGTGTATTTTATACCTTGTTTACTAAACAAATATTCCTGAGAACACATCATAGGAAATTATTGGTAGTCAACTAATGGGTATAAAATGGCGGCTGTAAAAAGAACATTTATCATGCCTAAATATCTAAACCCAACCACTAAAATCTCAAAATCTCATCTCTCATTTATATATCTGATTTTTTATTTTTTTTTTACTATTCAGCTTCTATTTACAGGATACTTGGTTATTCTGCAATGCATGTCCTTGTTCAGGTACTTCCTGTTATAGGGTAACAGCTGTCTCCCAACTGTGTCCCTGTATTGTCACATGCACCCTGATGGATACTGCAAGCAACCTTGCCAACACACATTGCACAGACCTAGTCCTCTTTGTCACTATCAGAATGCTTCACCACAGCAATGAGATGAAGCTACCACTGGAGCACGTGAAAGTAGACAGGAAGTGGCTAAACAGGCTGCAGGAGATTAGCAAAGGATTACAAAAAACTGTATTTCATGAAAAAACATGTTAATTGTATATAACACAGTGCTTAAATGTCATCTAGTTAGGGTTTAGATCTTCAATATAAAGTAGTGCAGCAATGCAATCCAATTATACCCTCTTAATTTATTAGGAACATACAGAAAGTGCCTTCTCCTTGTGAAATATAGTTAAGTAATGTTTCAAAAACAAGTAAACAATATATATACTCACAAAGCTTAGATGTGTGCAGCACATATACTCCACATATAAACATTCATGGATACGCTAGATGCATCCCTCATAATACAAAGTTGCCACTGCCCAATACAACAGATGCTGCCGGCTAGACCAGCCAGCACAACACATCTCAGGCAGCTATGGCTGACGTTTTTCTGGGGCACGTCCCCTTTCTTTAGAGCCTTTTTTACTGTTTCTATGTGGATTATTTGTGCTGTATATTTCTGAGCTTTGTGAGTATATATATATATATATATATTGTTTACATGTTTTTAACAATTATAAAACTATATTTATTGAAGAGAAAGTGCTTTTCTGTATGTTCCTTTTACATGTTGTGAAGGTCTCCCCTGTAAGTTTGAGAAGTTGCGTCCTCGGGGGAGGACGTTTTTTTAGTGGATGGATTGGGAGATACAGTGCATCGGTGCCAGCATTGAATTCTTATGTTTCCTCTTAATTTATTATTGTAATGCAGTCAGGATACATCAACTGTGATAAATATGCCTATTTGTTATACACTAAGTGCTGCAGCAAGGACTAAAAAAGCCTTTTCTGGCAGCACTAAGAGTCGGACAACTGCTCTCTCACACAAACAGCAGCCCAGCTCTCCAGTGTGCCCCCCCTAAATACTGCTCGCATCAAGACCACTGCTCAGAGAGTGAGAGTAATGTTGATTAGAGCAGTGTTCACTGGGAGGTGCCATACCACAGAAGAGCTTATGTATGAGAGCCGAGGCCTGACTCTCCTATGTGCTTGCAGTGAAGAGTTGTTAACCTATAACACAAAGTAAAACGAGACATATTCTGTATATGCAGCCTGACCGTATTACAGATAGTAGAAGTTGATATAAATCAATGTTTATAGTGTTTATTATGGTTATACTGCTACATTTGTCCTATTCATTTTACAGGTGGAGCTCAATGTATGTTTGAGCAGCCTATACAAAAATTCATACGTGCTTGGAATCATCTGCGGCTTTTCCTGCAGACAAATGGTGAGTAACAACTTTCTCTGCTTTGGCCAGTTCTTTAAAATACAGCTCCTGAAGTCATATGATCATGTGAATGCTGCTTATTAAGAACAATTGAAAGGTACTTGGAAGTAGCTTTAGATGATAGCTAGAGTATTGTGAATGAAAATGATCACATGATGATGACGGCTTTGCAAATTTTGTGTAGTTTCTATGTATGCTGTTTTGTATTTGTGGGTCAGCCCTGTTGGGATATGTTAGACCCCCTTAGTGAAAGTGAGCTAGGAAATTTGGAGTAGTCAAGGTTTTCCTAAGGTTATTGTTGGGGTTAACCAGAGCTGAGTGTCAAAACTGGTGTGGAGCGAAGATGTAGATGAAAACACAGCAAGTCCAGGAGTCAAACAAGCCAGGAGACAGAACCAAAAATAAAGTAACTTGGCAATTACAGGGTACCGAGGTACAGTCTGAGGATAGAGCCAACAGGAGCAACAACAACAGATGACAGGAGGAACATCTGCAGGAAAATAGACAGACACGGAGAGACTAAGCGGAGGGGCTACATGACTGGGGGGAGGAATAGTCCCGGGAGAAAGGGTTAAAAAATAAAATGGGAATAGCTGCTCTTACCTGATTGGACGTGGGAGTCAGGTGTCCGGGAGGAGCCGCATGGGAAGGGACTGCGAGGGCTGAGGGACGTCCTCTTTCTGGAAATCGACGAAGGAAGCAGCTTGGCGAGTTAGGGGGTCTTTGGGGGGTCTACAAAATCGGAGTTCATTACAAAAATGTGGGGGGCCCTCAGCTGGTATGGGTGCTTCCCCCTGTTGGTGTCCGGATTTGTAAAGGGCGGGGGCCTGGCCCCTTGGGAACCTGGAAGTAGTAAGTGTCCTCGAGCTGGTTGTGGTGCGGCTGGGGACATGGGTGGAGTGTTATGAGAGGCCTGTTTTGGGCTGGCGGGCACCCAAAGACCCCTTCTCAGGTCAACCCTTGTTAAAGTATTATTTTGTATATTTGGTTTATTACTTTGGTTATTGTTAAAATGGTTAAAATGGTTTGTTTAATAAAAGGGCTGCTGTGGCCGTTAAAATCCATGTCGCGCAGTCCGTGTGTTTATTGGGGTTTTTAACGGAGGGACAGAAAATGGACGAATCCATCAGTCAAGAATCCTAAACAGAGTAAACCGATGTGACCACCCAAATGCTTAATGGTCAACCACACTAGTTTTAGTGGTTGATATTATTAGGTTAGATCTACCAAAGTGTGCCTGGAATAGGAGTCTGCTTGAAAGTCCAAAAAATTTATTTTTATTAATTAGACAGTCCCCGGCAATAATCTTCTGCTACCTGATACCTCTAATGTTAGCTTATCAACTGAAAAAGACTTGACAAGTGCACATTAACCAGTGAGCAGTACAAGACATGAACTGTCCCTGTGCCTATTAAGCCTTTAACTTCAGTTATTTTATTTTTCTGGAAATGTAGGTGAAATAAAGCTCCCAGAAGGCATGTGTGATGAGATTCTTACCATGGAAAGCGAATTCGAGTTTCTTCTTCCTCGTCGGCAGGGACTGGGCCTGGGTGCTACAGCACTCACCAGCTACCTCATAGCACTGCACAACAGTTTTATATATGCACTGGCAAAATACACCAACATTGAACCTAAGTATGTTCTTATTTTTTCCGCATCTATTTTTAAAAATAGATGATATATTGAACTGGAATTAATTCAGTGTGCACCTGTATACATAACAATAACCGAGGAAATAATACATTTCAGGGAATTATTAGACTGAATTAACACAAGTAAGAATGCTGGTCTGTGCTGCCTCCATTGTCTCACCCATTTAGGAGTCTGTTGCCCCTGGCCTCCATGTAGTTCCTCACTAAGCACAGTATAAGCATATTGGTTAGTGAGAACTTTGAGGCCAAGCACTTTGCGTATAGAAATCATGGAAAAGTCCATTCTGTATATGAAGGCAATGTTTGCCGGCTGACTGGGGACACTTATACAAAAGGTTCTGTCACTATAAACCTGACAGGAGGTGTTGGGTAGTTTAGCATTATGCTAGAGGCTAGTTCTTTTATATGTAGTTCACATGGTTAGTTTTGCTTTATATTGTACTATTTTTAACACCAAATGAAAAACAGAAGGATGGGACTCAGCTTTAGATAAGATCCCTGAAGTCAGTTGTAAGATTTTTGATAAAATAATAATTTACATAGCTAATTAAAACCAATCATTACAATGATGATTTTTAGTTGACAGACACACAAAATACATGCAATAGTTGATAGAACATTTTTTTTTACAATACATACCTACATAATGATATGCTGCTTTCTAGTGTTTGCTATCAAATCTTTATTATAGTTGTAATTTATACTTTATTTCATTTTCTTTAGTTACTCTATTAAAGCTTCTGAAGTAATGGATCTACATGTGATCAGTTATGAGCTGGAAAAGGATCTAGTGCCTATAATCTTATCCAACTGCCAGTATAGTTTAGAGAGCGGTAAAGAGACTTTACAGGAATTTGACTTTCCAAAGATCCAGAATCAACTCACCACCCGCCTTCTCCAAGGGAAGCCTCTCATCACCATGGTTGTAAGTACCATATTATTAGAAATGTGTGCTGTGGCTGAATCAAGTTTGTTTTAATTAAAGTTTATTTTGCCATTAAGCAGAATGCAAATATAATTGCACATCCTGCACTCGGTATGCAGAATATCATTTAACAATTATTTTATTTATTGTAAAATGAGCAGTACATTGTACTTTGATCTGTGAGCAAATAGCTGTATTACTTTCTGTATAACTAAACAGATATTTGTACATTTTAGGGATTGCCAACTCTCACCCTTTCCCATGACAGAAACTATGAGCACCTGTTTACAGATCTAAAGAAAAGACTTCCTCAGGTACGAGATTTCAAATAAGTGTTTTATACTATGCATTAAAGAGGAATCACAGTTTTTTTTTTCTAATGCATTCTTCCTTGAAACCCCTGTCTGTGTAAAAGAGCATCTAAAATAAATACTTTTTTTGTTTTGTATGGATTGGGAAAATGTTGAAAGCCGTCAGGTTTATACGGCTGTCTGTCTGAGTATCGCTGCAGAGGGTCATCCTCTCTGTTTGTGCTGGTGACCATTGCCTCCACAACAGAAAGTCATGGGACATCCAGAATGTTACATTTGTCACCTTAATTTGGAATAGAGGGGAAATCTTTGAATGGGGATATCTGCTCTGGTAGAAACTGCCAAAAAGGGAATTTCCTCTCCCTTATTGCTGTGTCTTCACCACAGGAAGAAAGGAACTAGAGGCAAATATTCCAAATGGGACACAGGCAGGAAAACAGGTTTTAAAGTACATGCAAGACAGGTCTGGACAAATATCACCCAGAACTAGGAGCCAAGATCACGGCTGCTGCTGAAGCCATGATCTTGGTATCAAATTTTTTTCAGCAGGTGATGCTTCTTCAGTACAAGTGGCTGTAAAGCAACCAGATCACTTATAGCAGCCTGCATACGTGGTTCATTCTCCCCCTTTCTGGGTAGCCCGGGATCATGGCAATTAGGGTCAGGAGGACAAAAGGAGCAGACCAAAGGAATGTCAGTTACCAATCTGCTCAGTGATTAATTAAGTACTGTGGTCTCAGTGATTCTTGCTTCAGAGCTGTCACAAGCCCGGCTGAAGATCAGAGCTGGATAATCTGTGGCCACCAGGTAACCATGGCGAGTGCAAAAACCACTTTGTTGACCGGGATGTGACACACAGAGCCCTCCAGGCCCGAACAGAAAGTGGTTGAGAAGTAGTGAAGGGACCAGACTTATATCAAGTCAGAGGGGGCAGGCATCCACTGTCATCTCCACATGACAGTGGATGAGGGTGGCTGGATGGCCTTACAGTGTTATCTCTCTTTAATTATTATATTATTATTATTATTATACAAGATTTGTATAGTGCCAACAGTTTGCCCAGTGCTTTACAATATAAGGAAGACATTACAGTTGCCATACAGTGCAAGATAGCAGAACCCTGCACCATGAGAGCTTACAATCTAAATAGGAGGGGCAAAATCAATGAGTGTTACAGGCAATATCATGTCTGCCTGCCTTGTTTTACCAAAGGAGTGCTGGCATCCACCATGCATGGCTGATGTGTGGCAATAGTCTACCCCTGTATAGCCACCTTTTTTCCACCATACTGTGCTATACAGCACATTATATTGTATATTTTATGAACATTCACATCAGGAGACCAGTATCACACAGGATGAATGGGAAGTTCTCAGTTTCCTCAATACCTTTTGGCACGGTAGTGATAATAATAATTAGTAATAAATAGGTATGATGTGGCTGTTTGCACAGTGCTGGTACCCCATCTGACTGAGTAGATGTCCCTGTCAAGGATAAGATGGATTGTCCAATAGTTGAATAGTTTTTTCCAATGCTCTCTGGTACAATTTTACTTTGTGAAAATCAATTAAAACATTAATGGATATGATTTTACGTTCTTCTTTTTTTTTTAGGACTCTTTATCAAACTCAGCAATAGATGTTATAAGCAAAGACCTGAATGCATTCAGTGATGTCTGTGAAGCCTTAAATATTGTGGATATCTCAATGGGATTTCTGGCAACGTCAGGAGGAGATCCAGAACTTTCCTTAACAAGATATGTAGAAGATGTCCTACAGATGAAGGAACAGAGCAGCACACATGTTCTTGAGGTAGATTTTGTGAAGTCACACTTCTCCTTTTTATGCCACTGACCAAAACAATTGTCAGTATTTCATTGTTGTCATGGTACCTGTTGGAAAGATTTCCCTCTCACTAGTGACAGGCGATCATTCAGACAAGACGTGAGGGGTAGTCTACTAAGTGGCACAACAGACTGTGATAGAAACTTACCAAAGGATTGGAATGTTAAAGGTCAAATGTGTTTCTGTATGGTGCAATCGCCATACAGGATTAACTGGGATTATGGAATCATAAATCTCTGCAACTGCTTTCCCAATTATGTATTATCCAATTTCCATTAGAAGTGCCCATAAAAATAAATAAAAGTGCTCCAATGGTGCATATTGCCTGTTACATAAAATTAAAAAAACATAAAAATTACTATTGCAAACATAAAAGCAAAACTGCACTGTTCCGCCACTGCTCAGATACATGCTAGTGACATGTTGACATCAGTGTCCGAAGCGCTGTGCTAGGCATTTAGTTCTAAACAGATGTCCGTGGGGCAATGGGCATTGACTTACACTGACATCATTGAGATGCAAAAGAGGAAACATAATTTACAAAGATACAACTGATGAACATGTATTTATTTCAAAAATGGAAACCAGGTGGATATGTGAATTGTGTAATTATGCCCCAAATATATTGTTATATTAACAGATATTTATTCCTTTTATTGTTACCTTCTAATGGGGAATTTAGTCTCCTCTGATTGGATTGATAGGGAATGATGATCAGTATGTATATATTCTATATATAGGGGTTTATTACAGATGTATGTAAATATAGAATATTGGAGAATATTGATGCTTTTATTGTTAATAATGTTCTGTCGGATATCTATGTTGATGATTGTAGGAAAATACCTGAAGAGTGTGATCTCCTTTGGGAGGTATTTGATTCATACATCCTTCCTGTTATTGCTCCCATCCCCTCTTTTACATTTTAATTATGTCAATGTAAGCGAGTGCATGTAGCCCCTAAGAACATCCGTATGGGATTAAACAGATCGGGTGGAACTTTGGACACTGACATCATCATGCTACTAGCTAGTATCCGAGCAGCGGTGTTGTTTGTGCAGCAACAGTGCAGTTTTGCTTCTATCTTTGCAATAGTAGATTTTATGGTTTTTTATATGAAATAAGTTTTATTATAACATGTTTTTATTATGAATTAAGAACAAAAGAATACAAATGACACAGCAGCCTTGTGTCACAAACATATTCACATAAAGATACGGATCTAAGTTATTGCTGTTCTAGGACGGGAAATGCGGGATGAAGGGAGCAAAGAAACAGCATGTTGAGCCCGGTCATTAAAGGGATATGAGCATATGTAGGGTTAACTTCCAACTCTTTGGGGGACAGCATCCCCCAGTGGAAACCTAACCCCAAAACAGGATGGGTGAGGCAGTTCCCCAACAGCTATGGATATGAAGCAAGAGAGGAAGCAACCAGTCCCTCTCCTGGTGCTGGTCTGGGATGTGAAGGCATGGATGATATGGGCTGCCGGGGACCTGTGGGTTATCCAAGGAGATTAGAGGGGGAGATAGAAATATGGGTTAGACTTAAGAATGCATGGGCAAGATAAATAGGAAGGTGTAAGGGAAGGGTAATCTGGGCAGAAGGGGTTGTGGGGTGGAGGAGTGGGCCAGGGAGCATGCAGGAAAGCATGTGGGTTCCTCCTCATTGTGATCCTGGAGAGCCCCATCGCATAGATCCACCTCAGTCCACCCCAAACCCAGCATCCTTATTCTGAGTACTCCCACCCCAGGATGGAATTTTTCCATTGTGTCAAGTATGAAGCGGTGGGACAGTCGAAGTGTGGAACTCAACTGTTGCCTAAAGCTTTGGCACTTTACTTCGATTTCATTCACAATGCGTATTTGATCTCTAAAACATTGCGGCCTTACTCTCTGGTAAGTTGCTACTTTTGTACTGTGGTGGAGGTCATGCTTCAATAATTCAAATCATAAAGGTGAAGCCTCACTTCAAGTGCTGAAAACTTATTCTTTGGACTTTTTTCTTGTATTGTTGTATAATTTACTTATGTAGTCGTGGATTTATTTTGATTTTATTGATAGAAGTTAGACAGAGGTTCTATTTTTTGTTCAACATAATCAAAACTGAAAAATAAAGTTTGTTTTATCACTAAGATACAATAAATCGGTTAGACGATTGAACTCAGCACTGAAATACTACTTTTAGAAGGACCAAACCTTTAAGAATGGAATCATTTGTATATTTGAGATGCACTTAAATCTCCAATAAATACATGTAATGTAATAAATATGTCATTTGTTTTACTTTTTGTAGGCGCTGAAACGCTGTCCCTTAAAAAACACAATCTCTCTTTGGCAGCTTCTCACTGCACTGAAGTCACAACATCTTATACATCTAAAGAGGGTGAGATTTTCACATTTAAAAGGGTTTAAAGAAATATCCCAAACATTTTTTCCCAATAAAATTGGATCAAGAAAACATCTGGTCATAACAGTGTAAAAATCCTGACTCCCTATAGAGAAGTTTGTCTCAGGCTTGTGATTTAACATGATTGGTGGATGGAAAATGTGATCATCTGTAATTTAAAATTGCTAAAGGTAACTGTAGAAATACGATTATCATCACCATATACTGACGACATCCACGAAATCAGACTACAGGTCAGGGTGGCTGGGGGTTCCCATGAATACAGCTAATCTCCTGGGAGCTGGTGATGGGAAGAAACAAAAGCTATTGGTGGATATTTTGAAGTCACACTCATGATGCAGGTCACAAATATTCATTCTTTTAGGGAAATTAACATGTATGTATAAAGAGATCAAATGTATTTCTGACCAAGTCTATTATGATGTTTCAGGATCCATTTGCCAGTGTGGACAAAGCTTACAAACATAAACTAGACAAGGAGAGGCAGCACGCACTCAATGTGTTCTTGGAGCAGAATGGCACAAACCGCTTCCTTCTGGAGCTGCATGAGATGATCATGCTGAAATTAGGAAAGCCACAAAATTATTTCAAACCTTCATGGATGTAAGTGATACTTGGTCCTTGCCGGGATGGGTTTTTTTCTCCTACAGCTGAACTATGGGCACAAACATTTTAATCTAAATGTAATCCGCAACAAACTCAAAGGATATAAATCGACTTTATGTGCACCAAATGCCTTTTTAAACCCTGTTATTACCTAGTAAAAATAGTGTTGACGTCATCACTGTGCTGCACATAGCCTATGCAGAGAGCAGAGCTGTGGATAGGACCCATTGGGTCCTCCCACTATAGGCTACCTGCAGAAAACTACAATAGATTGGGGGGATACAAGATCATCTACATGTAACCCTCTACATGGAAAGGACCGCACTGACTGGTCTTTATTACACATTGCAAGATTGTGAATTGAAGCACCACACTCCGTTTAATAGTCCAGATCCATCTTTATTTAAAGTAGCATTGAGCGGACATTATAGAAATATTCAACGCATTTTGGGAGCTCATGCAAATACCCCCTTCATCAGGGCTAGGAGAGAACAAAAAGCAATTATCTGCTTCAGGATCATGTGATAATATAACAGTGATGTCACTGATGTATCAAATTATAAGAATTGCACTAAAATTGCATCTTTTCCAATACTGAAATGATTGTTTTCAACAATTGTGGAAGGTAAACCTCATAAGTAAAGGTGAATTCTTAGAGTTTCTTAATCTATAATAAAAATAAATAAACTATAATTACTTCACGCCAAAAACACCTACTTAAAGGAGAACTATGAGGTGAGTTATTTCCACTCATCCTCATAGTTAGAGCCGACGTGTGACATTGAAACGGTCACACGTCGGCTCCATAGTTCGGGAAGTCAGTGAACACATACCGTTGCTCACTTCCCGATCATCTCCCTGCAGAGAGCAGTGACTGTCAGTCACTGCTCCCCACAGGGATTCCCTCGCTCCGATCCTCCAGCGCAGACTGGAGGAACGGACGGGGAGGTGACGGGCACAGCTGGCTCTGCCTCTAGATAGGCAGAGCCAGTTGTCACTCAGCCAGTGAGGTGGATCTCAACAGTATTGTCGGGATCCATCCCAGCTGCAGCGATCTCAGTATATAGCGGGCGATAGCTCACTATATACTGAGCTTTGGGTCACGGGAGGACAGTCGTATATATGTATATTAGGGTTGCACAGATACCGAGTACAGTACTCGGTACAAGTACGAGTACATGTACCGATACATCTGACCTCCAAGACTACACTAGAGAAAAATTCAACAATTAGGAGAGCAAACAGTCAAATATAAAGTGTGACAACCAGTGTCAATTACATATAAAGTGCAAACAAATTCAAATAAACATTGTGACACAATTATTTGAATTTGTTTGCATTCTATTTATCTAATTGACACTGGTTGTCACACTTTTATTTGACTCTATTTGCATATTGATATATGTGTTTCTTAACACATTGGATAGAAATATATTTTTTTGGATATATTCTGATATTTAGAGCTACATGTAATTATATATTAGTTATTAGAGGGGCATATTTTATTATATATGTATTATTAGTTCTGTTTGTGTACTGGAATAGTGCTTGCAGCTTAAAAGAGAACTATGGGGTAACCTTTTTAAATATATTGGATAATAAATAATATTAAAAATCAATCCCAGTTAAAAAGTCTATCAAAATAATATCATTTTCACATAAGGAAAAAAAACAACTCAACGCTGCAAATTTTAGGTAATGAGTCAGTAGAGGCAACAAAAGGACATGAAAACAAAACATAAAATGGAGGACTGTATCTCATGGGGAAGTAGCATAAACCTAAAATGGTTTCCTTACCTAAGGAAACAAATTAACAAAAATGGATAAGCGCACTACTGCTGGGTGGAAACAATGTGGAAATGAACTACAGGATGTAGTCAACAGTGTGCAAGCTCCTTAAAGCAGGGAGAGGAACCCTGTAGCTAAAACGCACACATGAAAAGAGCGCTACTACTGGGAGGGTGATATTAACTCACGTTTAGATGTCAGCGGTGTGGGTCTGAAAACCTCAGAAGAGCTCGTCTGACGTCCATATAACATGTGGCTTGACTGAGAGGAGTGGTATTACGATACGCTCGTGGCGTGAAAACCTAAGTGGCAGTGAGAGCGATGTCTGCCGGCTGCACGTGCTCAGCTGGCCAGGCTGAGCCGTGACGGCAGAAAAAAAGAGTGTTGGTGCCGAACGGCTATGAGCACAGAGTGGTCGTTCAATGCTGCACGTAGGCAACTCTAGTGACAGGAAGTCACAATAGGGTAAAGTAAGGTGGAACTGGGGAGCAATGTGGATGGGTGAGATCTCTCCAACTGGCTACGCGTTTCGAGGCGCAGCCTTTGTCAAGTTAGAAACGGGTTTTGTTCCTACCTGGAGATCCGACTGATTATAATCACCCTCCTTGTATTTGCACAACTGCTTATGTGGTCCGATCCGTGACCATATTGATTCATACAAAGAAAAAGGATTAACTCGTCACAGAATAACGGGTTAGCAGTGGTCAATTCAGGGATCCGGACAAGCCAGTTAGTTGCATGAAAAAAATAATTTTATTGAAAAAGACATATAAGATAACACATTTGACTAACTATCCCACCATAAAAACTTTAAAAAATACAGACAATCATAAATTTGATGTGGATCGATCCTCATTTGTATTCAACATTAATTTCACCGTAAGGGGTAAATAACCGATGCAATTTCAGCGTCGCTACTTATCCCTTCGTGGAATAGCCCATACATATACCGACTTGCATAGGCTGTATGGACTAAAAACGTATCCCAGGGATAGGGCAATCAAAAGGAAAGATTTTCTTATAATTTCATTTTGTGAATGGAAAGAAAGGATCAAAGCAGATCTGAGATGGTAACCTTGGCTTCATCCGCTTATAATGAAATTATATAATGTACTCAAACGGTGGTACTTGTTGATTAGGTTAATCCTATGTAGCCATCTTCTAGTTTGATGGAATATATTTTCGGTTTGCTTTCAATTCTTTTCCCTCTATCAATTTGTTTTTCTTTAAAGATTCCTTTGATTAGATGTTTAGCTGTGAGGTTAAGTCTTCCTTGATTTGGTATTGGCTTGAATCTAGCCGTGTGTGCAATTAACCCCTTCCTCCTCCTTAGCCTTGGAATATCGTAGTGGGAACGCCGAAGTATAATCGAATTATCGAGTGTAGAGGGTGTAAGATTTCACTTCAGAGTGGTATTCAGACACCGTCCTTAACGGACATAAATAAAGGATTTTTTGTCACTCACGTTTACTGAAGTTTTCTTATAGTCCGGGCGATTTGAAGATTTTTTCCTTCCTGTGGGGTCCAGTAGTCCATTTACATGTGTAGATGCCTTGTTATTTCCTCCAGGGGATGATTGTTGCTATCTAATCCCAGATAGTAGATTTGAGGGATATTTCCACTTAATGGATCTTTGGATCGTCTCCTAGATGTTCTAGGTATAGTCTGTCCGTCGCTGAGAACCCCGATTGAAAATATAGCAGAGTTCCCTGGCATCAGGATCGTACATCCACTTGTGGCATGATAGTTATGTGTCTGGTCGCTGTCTGTCTGTCGACGCGTTTCGCCCCTCCTACAATGCGGGGCTTCGTCAGAACGTGCCTTTGTCAAGCCTGGGTAAAAGGTACAGTGAGAATAGCAGGAAACCCTTAGACATTTAAAACTGACAGCTGGGAGGAGTAATCGGCTGTCAGGTTACATGATAGGTGGAAGGATAACTAAGGGGCGAGTCAAGTCTACAAACACACCCATAAGCTGTATTAACCAGGAGAATGCTGACCATGGTCGCAGATCAGGGAATTGAAGGTGAACAGACAAACCACAAAATCACAAAAACAGTCCTAACCTGTCACACTAAGCACACATCATCCTGGCCAGCTGGGCACGTGCAGCTGGCGGACATCGCTCTCACTGCCACTTAGGTTTTCACGCCACAAGCGTATCGTAATACCACTCCTCTCAGTCAAGCCACATGTTACCATCTGTAACACGAGAAAGGGAGTGAGAGGTACACACTAGGTAAGAACAAAACTAACCAAAGAAATCTGGGCTCACTTTGTCAAGTGTGTGAGAATGCATAGAGCTCATCAGCAGCTGGTATGGCAACAATGAGTGATGCTGATGAGCTGTGTTTAAGAGACTGAAAATTTAAACAGAACTCGTCAGCTGTCAAACCAGCTGCTACCAAGCTCTATGCATTCTTAGACACTGGACAAAGTAAGTCCAGATTTCTGTGGTTCCATTTGTTATCTTACCTAGCTTTTACCCCTCTCATTCCCTTTCTCCTGAAGTGGTACTGTGATAGTCCCAGTGAACCCAATGAACAGGGTATTTGTATGTGACCTCGAAATGCATTGGCTATTTCTAACTCTCCCAACAACCCTACTTTGAATAAAGATGTATCAGGACTATTAAACGGAGTGTGGGGCTTCCAAGGAGACATTGGAGGTCTTTTGGCATGTAAAAGCTGCCTCTCTGATAGTCAGATCAACTATTCCAATTGTTTCACATAATATTAGGCCAACCACACCAATAGGCTAACTTTGCGTGTCCAGTGCTTTCTTTCCAATTCTGGTCTTTGTAACAGGAAGCTCCTGCACAGTGGCAACATTTCACATTGGATTCATGCACAGATCTGAAAGAATATACAATGTACATCAAGATTTAGGTTTAAGTAAGAATATATA